AATGTTTATGGATAAAATGATATGATACTGAGAATTTGCTTCAGTATATTACCAGGGTGGGTAGGGATAGAGGCAAAACAAGATTTGGTTGACTATATCATTGTTTAGCTGGTGATATGTATGTGGAGTTTTGTTACACCTTTCTCCCACTATAATATACATTTGAAATTTTCCATAACCAAAAGTTTAAAATTAGTTTCAGAAATATGTGAAAGAGAAGTAGTTCAGAAGGTCTGATAAAGCAAGAGGAATGAGGAGTGGTCTGTGTCCACACAAAAATAAGCTGGTCTATTTCCCCCTGGAATTGTGCTGTCCGTCTAGTTAGTGATCTGATGGACCTACGGTGGGGACGGCAGCTGAGTAGACCAAGGCAGGAAGCGGGGGACCATGACCAGCAGAAACAACTTGGTTTCTCTGTTACAGCAACTATCATGCGCCAGATGACACATTTCGAGAGCTGGAAGCTGTGGCGGTCACTACCTCGTATGTGTGCTATATTCTGCTGTTTATAAATGCGCCACAGGCTTCTTTTAGTTGATCTTCAATCAGAGCCTTGTGAGGTAGATGCTATCATCCTCACTCCAGAGGGGAGGACACTGGAACTCCCACCTGTAATTTGACTGGAGCGTACAAAGCAGAACTGGGACCTAGGCCCTGCCTTTGATGCCCCGATCCCTGAGGTTCCTTCCCTACTCCCGACCACAGAGAAGCGTTTTTTGTCTTTTAAACGTAAGTGTACGTCAGAGCAGGGCAGCGCTATTTCTGCCAGGTATGGACTTCTTTCTGGATGGGATGGTTGTTGTGAATGTGAGAATAAGGAAAAAAAATGCATTGGACATGAAGATTATCCTAAATTAGAGGGCAGGGCCGGAGACAAATACCCCCAAATGAATAAGTTCCTACCATGTTCCAGGCACTTTGCTGAATAAGCTCCTACCGTGTGTTCCAGACACGTTGCTGAATCAGCTCCTACTGTGTTCCAGGCACTTTGCTGGGGTGGGGGCCAAAGCTGGAGGAGGGAAGGAGTTGGGTTCTCTGTCCTTTTTCTTGACCCTTAGCATCAAATACATAGTATCTACTCAACTGTAACTATATTAAAAGAATGCAGGTCTTTCTTTGTCCTTCCTTCTCTCTTTCTGCCCCTCTGTGACTTATTCACCTCTAAGATTTTCCTTACTTGGGAAGGTGAGGGGAAAGGGAGAAAGAGAGAGCGTGCGCGCGCGCGTGACAGCGGGTCAGCAGGTTGAAACATGGGTGCTCCATGCTCCAAACCAGAGCTAAGGCTCAGAGTGATGTCTCCAACTATGGAGATTTTATGAGGGAAGAACCCAGTGGACTGATTTTGAAGGCCTCTGGCGCTTACAGGAAAATATATTGAGATAATATGAAGGTATTGATTCACGTTATCCTTAGTTCTCCTAAGAGAAATGAGCCAGTCAAATCATTCTTTAAATGACCATAAATTCTAAGGAAGCAGGGAAAGCTGTTTCTAATTAAATGTTCGATGCTTGTTCTAAGTGATTAATACTATGTCAGTTTTGTATACAGTATGTTCTGTATGTGCATATAGAATATGTTGGAGGCCCTTGTGAGATCATGTGGGGCTCAAATTGGTGCACATTTAAATATTGTTTTATGACTGAGAGAGGGTTACAGGCATATGTCCCCTTAGGAGAGAAGACCCACATATTTTTCCGGGTGGGATTTTATTCATCAGTAAAAAGGAGGGAGTATAAGAGTCAGTTTCTCAAAATCTTTGAGTCATGGAACATCATTTTTCTAATTTATTTTATTTTTACCTCAAATTAAAAGTCTATAAAAAAATTAGGAGTATATTTTTTAAAGAACCTATTGCAAACATTGTTGTTGAAGAACCTTCAGTGGTATTTTCTTTAACAATGACGCTCGCTCGTTGTCACTGCCACTGTTTGACATGGCATGCGAGATCCTGGTCAATGCTATGAAACAGGAAACTAAGAAGGTTTTTTTTCTTCCAAGTAATTTAAAAAACATTTTCAATTACAGTTTACAGTCAATATTATCCTGTATTAGTTTCCTGTATTAGGCGAACAGCATAGTGGTTAGACAGGTATATGCCTTGCAGAGCAGTCCCCCCAGTATCTCCAGTGCCCACCTGGCACCATACACAGTTATTACAATATTATGGACTATATTCCCTATGCTGTACTTTACATCTCTGTGACTAGTCCGCAGCTACCAATTTGTATTGCTTAATCCTTTCCCCTTTTTCACCCAGTCCCCCAACTCCCCTCTCCTCTGGCAACCCTCAGTCTGATCTCTGGATCTATGAGTCTGTTTCCGTTATGCTTAATTTTTAATTTTGTTCTTTAGATTCCATGCATAAGTGAAATAATGAGGCTTGTTGTATCTTTGTTTTTACAAGATGTTATTGATTATGTCTGGAATTTATAGGCAACCAAGGTGAGGTTTTGGAACAGAACACCCAATTAAAACATTATTCCTCAGGGATAATGTAAGGGACCCACTTTACATTGCCACTTGGAGGGGTCCATTGTGGCAAAGCTCAGGGTGGCCGACATGATGTTCACTTCATTGATGCAACTTTAAGCATTTATTGTGCACTCCGTGCTGGGTGTGCATCCTGAGGTGGTTCTCTTAACCTGTACAGTGGAGCTGATAACATCTGCTTCATAAGATTGTTGAGCATGAGGCTTTTATCAAATTAATACATATAAAGTGTTCACAAAAGTGCCTGGCACAGAGTAAATAAAATGTTCAACAAGTGGTGGCTGAAGTATTGTTGTCATTGTCATTGTTACTGATCCTCACAACGACCTGCGGTGGGTTTTATGTCTTAGGATCCTGCCCAGTACGTGAGTGCGGCGTATGGGAGTTACACAGAGCTGGGAAGGAAAGCCAGGCATTCTGACATCGAATCACAAAGCATACTGTGACCCACGTAGGGGACCCTTTCACAAAGCAGCAATCCCATGCTATAGACTGACCTTGTACTTTTCTTCACTCTGACTTGCCAGTAGCAATTCTATCTGCTGATATAGAAAATCTCAAATACATTATTGGTTTTTTTTTTTTAACTGCTAAAGTAAGGCATCATGGTTATACTTCAATCTTACTTCAATCTTAGTTGTGTTATTTTTAAAAGTGTATTCATTATACTTTATATGTATAAAAATTTTTGAAGCACATATGTAAGAAATTTTAACAGTGTTTACTTTTGGTGAATGGACCTGGTTGTTAGAGAGAAAAGGTAGAGTTTGACTTTTTATTTGATACCCTTATATACTGTTTGGAATTTTTTGTTACAATTTTTTTTATAAGTTCAGAAAACTTTTTAAAAAACACAGGAAAGGAAGGTGTTTTAGTTACTTCAGGCCGCTATAACAAGACTGGGTGGCTTATAAACAACAGAAATTTATCTTTCATAGCCCTGTAGGCTGGAAGTCTGGGATCAGTGTGTGAACATGGTCAGGTAAGGGTCCTCTTCCTGTTCAAAGGCATCTTGTATCCTCACAGGGAGGAAGGGATTAGGCAGCTCTGTGGGGTCTCCTTTATAAGGGCACTAATACCACTAGTGAGGGCTCCACCCTCAAGACCTAATCACCTCCCAAAGGCCTCACTTCCTGACAACATCACATTGGACATTAGGATACCAATGTATGAATTTGCGGAGAATACAAACATTCAGACTGCAGCAGAGGGGAAGAAAAGTACAGTAACCCATCTCTATAACAATATTTTTCAGACCCCAAGAATCTCTTTCTAAGAAACAAAGCTCTGGGGGAGGAAGCATGGCACTCGAAGTCCTAAACTAGGAAATTCCCAATATATAGTAGCATATTAAAGGCTATGAGAAAGTGTAGTAAAGAAATCTGTACAGTACATTCTTTCTTGCCTCTATTGTATCTATTATTATCCTACAGAATTGTATCCTATAGCATAACAGTTTACAGTATACATATTTAAGAAAAAGTGACCTAGCCTTAGGTCAAATGCAAGTGAATGTTCCTTCAGGAATGCTGGAAGACCTGCCTGGGAGTATGGTGCCACCATACTGGGTCTTAGATTCAGGCAAGGGGGAGTCCAAATCTTGGGTCTTCCACTCACTAGCTGGCTGAGCCCTAGGCAGGTTACCTCACCTCTGGGTCTCTGTGTGCTCACCCACCTGTGAAAGAGAAACAATGATGCCTCCCTTTTAAGGGCACTTTCAGGATTGTAGGAAAGAAGTACCTGGTCCTTGTTGGTACTGGTAGGTGTTAGTGTCCTCCGCCTCACCCTCGCTCCGCTGACCCATCTCCTTCCATGGTGGCACTGCCGTGCCTCTGTTGATGAATACCCACGCTTACCAGAACAACTTACCGAAAGATCCCTCCATCTAAGAGAGGCCAGGCTCTCAGGTAGCAAGCTTTTCTTTCTTACTTTCTTTCTTTTTTTTTTTTTTTTTTCCATTTTCAATGTGAATCCATTCTAAAATCTTGATTCCCAGATATCTATTCAAGAATGTGCCTCTTATACAAGGCACAAAAATCCTGTTTCTCTACAACTTAGAGCCCAAAAGATAGAGAAAATTCATTTGCTAAATCACATCCAGGTTTGCCTGCTCCAGGCCATTCCAGGCCCCTGCACGGAGGTAGCCCTTTCCCCTCACTTCCTGTGCCTGTGTTAATGCTCACAGAGGAGACCAAATTCAGACTTCGATTTTAAAATGTGCGTGCTAAAAAAGCATTGCCTTTTCAAAGTAACCTTTGCTGTAAGCCCTGGAATCTAATTACTCAAGTATTATTTGCCTCCCCAAAGTACCCATGCTGGTGCAGATTGAGTTTAAAGTTCAGGAAGTATTAACAAAAGGAATCAGAAGCAAGATCTAGAGCCCTTTCTCTGAAGAATCTCCCTGTGTGCGCCTTGCCTCTCCCTCCTCCTGGGTGTGCCTGCCTGGGAAGGCCAGTGAGTAACCTGCACATTTTTTTTTTTTTTTTTCTATCTTGGCCCTTCCCACCCAGACGAGAGGACGGAGTGGCAGACAGGCAGGCAGACGGCGGTGAGTCCTGTTCGAGCATGCACGGGTAATACCTCTACCCGCACCCACATCCAGGACCCCTCGCCACCCTCACCCCTCTCCAGAAGGAGCCAGCGCCCCTGTGAGGGTCCGGAGGGGACCTCCACTCCCAATGGTAAGGGCTGCCAGCAGCAGGACCACTTCATTCATTTTATTTGCTTTTGCATTGGCTTTTCTGTTCTATTGTGTTTAGATGGGAGAGTTTCTGATAGATTGAAGGTGTTTTGTTTGGTTGATGGGTTAGTTCTCAGTCATCCCAAGACAAAGAAATGTCTTTCCCCAGCAGAATTTATTAGAACTTGTAACCTGATAGCCTGGCCTTGAAATAAAACTTAATGTACTAATTACCTCTGGTTAGTACGACTTACCCTTTTGGCCCTGTAGGGAGGGGAAAAAAACCCCAAACTGCATGCTTATTGGATAGGTTTTGAAGAAGGAAAAGTGCGAAGGATTGTGGGCATTTTGTGCGCATCTCTGACTAGCTGAAAAGTAGCCTACTTTGTTACCATAGCTTTAAAATAGACCGCGATGACGTTTTGTCTTAAAACAAAACAAACCAAGCAAACAATCCTGTTTAGAAGATTTTCATGTTGAATGAAATATGCCAGCAGAGGGGTTGGAGTAAAAGAGTTTCAGGATAAGTTGGTCTAATTAAATGTAGATGAACATGGAAGATGAACATTGAATTAAGCCTGGGAAGGAAAAAGTCAGATGCTCAATGTGGGATTCATGTGGTATTTAAGAGAGAAAATAGATCTTTGTACAGCGTGTTGAGAATTCTTTGAGTGACGCGTCGGAAGGCACGTGGAGGAGGCCTGAGAGCAGGTTTGTGTGCGGGGCTGGTGCCAAGCCTTCTCCCTCAATTGCTGTGGGTGAGAGGAATTCAGGATCATCAAGAGCTGCATTGTTAACAGGCTTCTGATTTCAATATTTATTCTAAACACAAGCTGTTGAGTGCAGGGGCATGTGAAGGAATACAACTGCTGCCTCTGGTTGCGGGCCGAACAGGAACTTTCATACCTAGGAAGAGTTCAAGAAAAAAGTTGAACTCTTAGCCTTAGGAGAGATAAGGCTATGTTGTAATGTTAATTTGATACTATACTGCTGTAAGTTTGAGATGGCCCTATTGTTTTAACAGGCGTGAAGCATTATTAGGTCCTGATCACATTAGAGTGTGAAGATGCTGAGCTAAGGGCTTTCACAGGAGAATGGCACAAGAAACTGCAGTAGAAATTGCCCAAACCAGAGGCACTCCCATGATACATGTGAAAGTTTGGCGTACGCCCAGGTGTCTCCATGGATGCAGCCCAGGTTCTTTCTTGGCATCGCTGTGCGGGCAATTTAAGGATTCTCGATAGGGAGTAACCTGCACTTACCACATCTAGGTTTTTAGAGCAGCAATAAACACTAGCCCTAAAAAATGGTGTACCAAAAAGGGTATGAAGAACACAGGCAGGGTACAGATCTGCTTCATGGGGTACATACCCCTCTTCTAAGTTTCAGGAAAGTACAGTATTTTGTTGTTGTTGAAATCAGTAATTCTTTACCATTGCCATTATAATGTTCCTGTAGTGATAATACTAGTAGTTTGCTTTCTTATAGTTTAGGTTTCCCTTTGGCTAATACATCGAAAGCATAGATTGAGTGCAGCCCTATCAGCCAGCCGTTTAGAAGACATCCGAGAATGCCACTTATTTTCTTGCAGAGAGAGCAAGAGATGGGGTGGGAGCCATTATAATGAATTTACTGGATAGGCAAGGTTTAAATTTGTGACTTTTTTCAGTTATGATTGAAAAACAAATGGATGCCATGTCAAACCATCCATGGGGTTAACGATACTACTGATAACTCTCTGGCCCTCATAGGCATATGCACTTTGCACACTAGGCATTGCTGCGTAAAAACATTGTCATCCCTCCCAAATCCACTTCCCTTCCAGCCCTGTGCTCAGGGGAAGAACACAGTTTAGAAGAATAAAAGAGTGTGGGCAGTGTTTCCTATCCATGGCCTGTTCCGCACAGTTTCAGAACCTCCTAGGATTTCTTCATAAACTAAACTGAATGCAGTTTCTTCTTAAATTTGGCTTTTTTGAGGCATCTTCATGGTGGATTTAGGATTTATTTTGATTTTGTTGCATTTTTCATCCATCCCTTTTGTTTAGTCTTTTAAGCAGCGATCGTACCAAGCAGATTGAAAACCTGCCTTACAAAGGGGAACCAAGCTGTGTACTTTCGACAGCCTTGTCTTTCAGCAGCATATGCTCTCCCTTCCCACTCTCTGAGTTTCTTCCAAAGAGCCATCAGGCACTACCCAGCCACGGCCGCTCCTCTGCTGTCCTGTGTTTTCTGGTTTCTGGAATTCACTTCTCTTCCCTGCTGTCCCAGACTTCACAAGTAGGTATTTAGAGAATTTAAATGGAGCTAACCAAAAGGTCATGGTGATTTAAAAAACAAGCAAACAAACAAACAAACAAACAAAATCCCCCAGAATGCAGAACTGTAGTTGTAGGGATGCCATAATAAGTATCGCTGCACCCCCGCCAGGCTGCATCGTAGGGCCTGGGTCAGGGAAAATAGCTGGGAATTGAGCCACTGTAGCTTCAGTGCATGTCCTAAGTGGCCACAGTCAGGGCAAAGGTGAGTGAAGCAGGCAAGCGGAGTGGAGACGGCTTAGCCAGCAGCTGGTGGCTAAAATATAATTAGCCTCAGCCTGTAATCTTCAGTGAGCTCCAGTTTCCTGCCCCTCGGGGCTTTTTGCTGGTCTTGTCTGTTATCTTTTTCCTATAATACGTCTTATGACGCATTGGCGCTCCTCACGTTAATGCCGTGGGCCCTTTGGAGGACGTCTCCCTGATGATCCTTCAGCCACATTTCATCTGTAGGCACATCCTAAGCCAGAAAGAGACATCGCAGAGACTACCTGAAACAAATCCTTGTGCGGATGGCACGCCATCCGCGTCCCCTTTAAAAACCCCAAAGGATAATGTAAGATAGTGCTGAGAGTAAATAGATTTATTTTGCTTTAGCTTGAGACCGAGATCTTGAGGATTGAGTGAGATGCGTTATGTGTGCAGGCGGGAGTAGAAACGAGGAGTAGCCAGTGAGACTTCATCTGATGATTTTATAAGTTTTTGAGATTAGGGTAAAAACTTTGGCCCACACTTAGAAATCGCATTTGGCTGCTGGTGTTATTTTTCTCCCATTACATTAGGTGTGTAATAAATCGGTTGCCCAAATGGCCCCAGTGATTCCCCTCTTTGAATCTAGTCCCTTGTGATATGGCTTTGTAGCTCCTCTTAGCAAGAGGCAGAGTCTATTTCCCTTGCCCCTGAACCTGGTCTTGGCCTTGTAACTTACTTTGGCCAGTAGAATGTGCAGAAGCAAAGGTTTGCTCTATACTGGACCCCAGCCTAGGTCTTAAGAGGCCTCGCACACCTCTGCTTGTTCCCTTAGGATCCAGCCCAGTCGCTGTGTGGATACTCCTGGACTTGCTTGCTGTGGCTCAGAGACCCTTGTCACCCTAAGTGACAGCAGTCTTATGCCAGACGTGTGTGTGCGTGAGGCAATCCTAGACCAGCCAGTTGACCTAGACATGAGTGAGCCCAGCAGAGATCAGACAAACTGATCCAGATCCGCAGATTCATGAGCAATAATCAGTGCTTCTTGTTTTAAGCTACTAGTTTTGGAATAGTTTGTTACTCTAACAATAACTAATGAACTATATGTGGTCACTTGGAGATGGTCCCTCTGTATTCATCTTTGGGTCTATTAATGTCATAATAAATACTTTAGTGCAACTCAGCGTGAGACTTTATCCCTAGATGGAAGGCTTCTACTGGGGCAGGAGACAAGTCTTGTGATCATCAGTATTACTTTGAGACCTTTTTTTAACAATACAGATGCCTGGGCCTTGTACCAGAGTATTCAACTAAATATAAATGGGGACTGGGAATCTGTAATTTAGAAAGTATGGTTGATTGGCTGGGATTGAAAACCAGTAATCCAATGGTCTTTTCAGTCCCTTCAATTACTAAAAGATGCAATGATTCCAGTTCATCTTTACTTAGGCAAATAACACTCAGGTGGTTCAGAGTTCATTTTTAACTTGGTATACTTTCAGCTGCATAAGCAAACTTGGTAACCACCTTTGGGCTAAAGCATATTGACCTGATCCTAGATGGGGAAAAAAAATTCACAGGTGCAGATTGATGCCTGGAATTGTGTGTTGCTTACCACCGTATCCCCTGGGATTTAGAGCATATTATGGCCTCCATCAAGATACCTTGGCATTGGGGATGTGATAGGATCCCGCATTGAGGACCTTATAGTCTAATGGAGAAAGAATCAGAGACCATTACTCATGTATTAAGGAAACAAAGCAAACAGTGTTTTAACCCTTAAACTGCAGGTGAATTTTTACTATGGTGGGTTTGTCAGTTAGTGAGTGTATCAGTTGTTGCTACAAAAATGCCGCATTACAAACAACCACAAAATCTCAGTGGCATACAACAATATACTTTTATTAACCCCTATGTCTGCAGGCTGGTGTGGGGAGAGCCAGCTGATCTTGGTAGGGCTTAGCTGGGGTGGCTTTACTCCACAAGTCCCTCATCTTCCACCTGGGACCAGCTCAGGCTTGGTCTTCCCATGGTGATGGCAGAGACACGAGAACACAAGCCCAAGGCGCAAGCTCATTGCATGCCTCTGGTTATTTCATTAATCTCTTAACATCGTGTTGGTCAAAGCAAGTCACATGGCTAAGTCCATTGTCAAAGGGCAGGGAACTTTATATTTGCAGAGAGAAACTGCAAAGTCATGTGACAGAGGTCATGAACACTGAGGGGGTGAAGATTTCGGGCCATTAAGGTAAGCCTCTGTGGTGGGAGAGGGACGTGTTGGGGAATTTCACTTTCTCCTGTTCAGAAAAGTTGGTGAAGTCACAGCTGGATCCCAGAGTAACCAAGAGGCAGAAAGTGTCCATCCTACGGAACCAACCTGTTCCTCATAATATGGAAGAAGCACCAGGCTCTTTGCTACTATGATCTGTCCAATGGAATTTTAGAGGGAAGCAAATTCCAGCAAGGAGGTTTAGAGATGGCCCTGGCATCTCCACAGA